TTGATGCTGTATAGAATAGATAGGTATGTCAGCTGATTGCAACTGATTTGTAATTAAGCCCTCCTTGTGTATACATAAAATATTTTAGATCTGCAGAATAAAAGATTTATTCAACTTGATTAGGTATGAAACACTTTTTTTAATTGCCAAAGAGCAGCTGGAAAGTGCCAGGTGTTTCTCTTACTCAAACTATTTTGTTATTTGTTTACTTCTTTGGAGGACAAATGGAAAGACTATCTTTTATAAGCACACATTCTTTCCCTTGCATCTTTTTCTAATCCTTCTTTGTTAAGCATTTCAACACTGGCCAAACAGTAGGAGAGGTTCCTGACAGAACTCAACAGCTTTTCTTCTGCAAAAGGTTAAGTGCCAAGTTGCAATTTGGGTTTAGTGAACACCCCAAAAGATCAAGAAAACTTTAAGCGCCTCCTGTCAGCACTAGTGAGAAAGACAGCCTCACCATCTCTGCTATAACAGGGGTCCACCTTATTCTGTTGCCCCCCCCCCCCATAACATTTAGCTTCTTTGCCTTAATTTCTACATCATGCTCATTATGCCTTCGCTCATCCTTAGAGATGAAAGGCGATCTGCAGAATTATAAAGTTGATCCGAAGCAAACATCCAAAAAAGAACTTAAAATTCTCACATTGGGGTTGACTCATGATTAGCTGAATTGCTGTGACTACACATGCTTCCATTCGGAACAGGATGCATTCCCCCAGCAGTCTCTTCTCTAGCGCCTAGCAACATTATCATTGAGCACCTGGAAGAGTTTAGGCATTAAGTGTAATTGGTTTTGCTTTACATAAATCTGTAGCTTTGTAAATAAGCGGAGCATTTCGGCTTCTATATAACACCAATTAACTTAAAGGGATGCGTTGTTTGCAGAAGCCTGCTGAGTTTCATACTGTATGTCTCCAGTAATATGCTTGGTGTCGGGCAACGTTCCGTGTCCCTGCAGTGTTCCATTTACTCCCAGTCACTTGGCGCCAAAGGTCTCTACCCAGCCGTTCACT